ACCTTTCAATTCACAGGTCAGTGCTCAATCCACTGAGCAATACCCCTAGGGCTAAAAATTGATTTTTGAGAAAGGTAGAGAGGAAGAGGGATGGGCATAGAGAGAGAATCATTGATTTATTGTTCCACTTATTTATGCATTCATTGCTTGCTTCTTTCATGTGCCCTGACCGGGGATCAAACCCACAACCCTGGTGTATCAGGACAATGCTCTAACCAACAGAGCTACCCAGCCAGGGCAGTTTTTTTTTTCTTTTTAATTAATGCATGCACACGATGACAAAGGACATATGAAAAGTGTGTTCCCCTCCCATCTCTCACCCTCGGTTCCTGAGGTTCTCTTCCCAGAGGAAAACACCTTTAGTAAATCCTTCTGTAGCATTCCAGAAACATTCTAGATATATACGGTGTGTGTATGTCTGTCTGTCTGTCTATCTATCTATCTATCTATCTATCTATCTATCTATCTATCTATCCATCCATCCATCCATCTCTTCCTTCTTGGCCCTGCTAGCATATTGTGCACCCTGTTCTGTCCTTGGCTTTTTTCTCTTAACAATAGATCTTGGAGAACTTTCAACGTCAGTATTTATAGTTCTGCCTCATTCTTTCTAACAACTACCTAGCATTCTACTGCTCCTTCCCAAAGCACATTTAAGTAGATCCTAGTCCTTTGCTATAAAAAAACAATCTAGGGAATCATAGGAACTTTAGATTTATCTTGTGATGTCATATTTTTTAAAATCCCATTGAAATTTTATATAGAGTTGCCTTGAAATTTATAAATTTAATCTGGGCAAAAGAAACATCACTATGTTTGGATCTTCCCAATCAGGTCCCATAAAATGTCTTTCTTTCCATTTAGTTAGAAGGACAAACTTTTCTATCCTTTGGCAAGTTTTATAGCTTTTATAAATAGGTCTTGCTTTTCTGTTAAATGTTTTCTTAACTTTTGTCGATATTATAAATGGACATTTCCTCTTATATAACACTTTCTTATTAGTTTTTCATGGTTTTCAGGAAACTTTTGATTTCCACATGCAATTCCCTTATGAAGTCTCCTCTCTAGTCTTTTTATGGTTCTAATAGTTTTCCAGTTGATTGTCTTAAGTTAATGGCATCTAAGAGTGAACAGCATATGCTCTATCTTAGGACCAAGCATATGAGGACCAAGAGGAGAAGACAGCCTCATTTGACTGAGAAATTTTTAAAAGTTCAGAAAGACTGGGAGTAGCAGGAGCAAAGCTTTGATGGGGCATGATTGCATGATTATGACATTTTGTTCTAGTTGGTGGTGGAGGCAGTGGTAAGGTGTTGTCGGCAGGCTATGTACATTGTACTTAATGAAGTCTCCACTTAGTGGAGACCCATTAAAGAGCAGAGCAAGCTCCACTTACAGTGTAAGCATGCATTACAGACAGCTGCAATAAGATTTCCATACCCGTAACCACCAGCAAACACTTACTAGGCACCTGTTACATATACAACACTCAAATCCAAGTTTTAGAATATTTTCTCTTTCTTTTTTTTTTTTCCGAGTGACAGGGTAAGTTAGAGGTAAATGTGATACAAAAGGGAAAAGTAAAAGTACAGAAAATAAGTACCACAGAGTTCAAAGGAGAAAGAGAACACTATAAGCTAGAGTAGCTGAGGAAGGTTTCTTGAAGAGTTAAGGTTTGAACATGATCTTGAAGGATGGGGAGGTCTTAAGTGCAGTGTTGAAGGTCAGAGGTATTCTAGGTAAGGGGGGAGTGTAGCAAAGTGGAAAATCACATTATGACACCAAAGATAGAATTAGTAAAAGAGAAGTTAGTTGAATCAGTGGGTTGAACCCAATCTATCTTATTTGGTTGACAGCTGAAAGTAATGACAGATGTAAAAAATCTTAGAAAATACTGGCCTCTACAAAAGTAGTGCTTAATATGAACTTAATTTAACATTGCGCTGGGGAGGCCACAAACTGGTGGCAGAGAGAACAGCCTGGACTGTGTAAGGAATCCATTAAGAAATTGTGATTGGCAAACGATCAATTAAGAGTTGAGTTTTGTGTTATTGTTTAATGTAACAGAAAATTCAAGAAATGACAGCTTAACTAAGGTCTTCCATAAAAGGTTTCCATTTGGGCTAGTGAGCTAGCTCAGGGATTTCAGGGCCAAGGTGTTTTTGGTTCCCTTAGCAAACGCTTCCATGTGCTATTAATGGAATTGTCTCCCTTCCAAATTCGTATGTTGAAGCAAATGAGGTCATAAGGGTGGGGTCCAAATCCAATAGGACTATATGACCTTATAAGAAAATAAAGAGGGACATTTCTGTCTGCCATGTGAAGACACTGTGAGAAGGTGGCTGTCCCCAGGCTGGGAAGTGAGCACTCACCAGGAAAGGATCATGCTGGTACTCTGATCTTGGACTTCCAGCCTCTAGAACTGTGGGAAAATTAATTTCTGTAGTTTCCACCCACCAGTCTCCAGTATTTTGCCATGTCAGCCAAAGCTGACTAATGTACTGTGTTTGTTCCCAAGTTTTGTGGCAAATGGCTGCTGCGGCTCTAGCTACCGTATCTATTTCAGACAAAGTGGGGGGAAAACATACCAGCTGTGTCTGAATCCCTTTTAAAAGGCCTTCCTGGAAGTCCCAACCAATGACATATGCTTCGATCTTACTGTTGAGAGCTGTGACAGCCACCCTTATGTATGCAGGTGACTGGGAAATGTACTCTTTTGGCCAGACATACTACTAGCCCTAATAAAATTGGATCTCTGCTAATGAGGAAGAAAGAAGAATGGATATTGGGTAGCAAGCAACTATATCTGACATAGCCAACAAATATATAGACAAAAAAGTACCATCTTGGTAATCAAAAAAATTCAAATTAAACCAATAATGTTTTTCTATCCCACTAGCTTAAAAAGGATTTTTAAAAGGTAATGGCCAGTGTTAGGACAGGTACAGACAAGGAAGCACTCTCGTTATTGCTGGTGAAAGTGCAAATGCATTCGGTGTTACTAGGTAGATCTTAAAATGTGCACATTCTTTGACCCATTAATTTTTTTACTTCTAGAAATTTATTCAAGAAGATGATAAAGGACTGTACAAACATTTAGCTACAGTCATATTTATAATAGTTTTCTTTGCCAAGATCACTAGGTGTTAAGCAATAAAGGGTTAATTAAATATATTATTGTTCATCTAGACAAAAGAATATAATGTGGCCTTTAAAAATAATGTTCTTGTGTTGTATTTTATGACATGCAAAGGTTACTATATATTATTGAGAGATAACGTAAACAAAAAAGACTAGAATGATATATATAAAATTATAACAAGTTATTCCTTGGTGGTGGGGTTATAATTCATTTTAATGTTCTTTGTACTTATCTCAATTTTTCTAGTTTAACTGCAGCGGATATATATTAGTCATGTACTAAAAAAATTAAAAGCAAAAGCAAGAGAATTTTAAATGATAGGTGGTAATAATTTATTGGTAATCTCCAAAATTTTATGTAGATATTAAAATAGAACTATCTTATGAAATGACAAATAACTCAATTTTTAAAGGGGCAAATTTCTGATCAGAGATTTTTTTCAAAGAAGATATACAAATAGCCAATAAACATATCAAAGGATGCTCACCATCATTAGTTATCGGGGAAATGCAAATCAAAACTACAATGAGATACTGCTTCACACCCAGTAGGATAACTATAATAAAAAAAGACCTATAATGACAAGTGTGTGTAAGAAGGTGGAGAAATTGGAACCTCCAAATGCTCCTGATGGGAATGATGCAGTTTCCTTGAAAAACAGTTTGGCATTTCTTTAAAAATTTAACATAGAGTTACCATCTGATCTAGCATTCCACTCCTAAGTGTATCCCCAACAACACTCTCTAAATACACGAGTACTCAGAGCAGCATTTTTTTCTAATAGTCAGAAGGTATAAACAACCCAATGTCCATCAACTAATGAATGGATAAGGTGGATAATATCCATATGATACAATATTATTCATCCATGAAAAGGAATTAAGTTTTGATGCATGCTACAATATGGAAGAATCTTGAAAAAAAAACTAAACTAAGTGAAACAAGTCAGTTGCAAAAGGCCACATATTATGTTATTCATTTACATACAATGTTCAGTATAGATAATCCTACATAAACAGATAGATTAGTGGTTGCCTAGGGATGAGGGGATGGGGAAATTGAGGGTGACAGCAAACTGATGTGGGGTTTCTTTGGGGGGAATGAAAATGTTCTAAGACTGATTGTGGTAAAGGTTGCACAACTCTGTGAATATCCTAAAACCATTGGATTATACACTTTAAATGAGTATCAGATGTGAGTCATATCTAACTAAAGCTGTTAAACAAGAGAAAAAGAAGAAGGCAGAGAAAGAGGAGGGGAAACGGAAGAAAGGAAGGAAGGAAAGAAGGAACAAGGAAGGGAGAGAGGGAGGAGGGAAGGAAGGAAGAAAAAGAAAGAAAGAAAGAAAGAGAAAGGAAGGAAGGAAGGAAATCCTTAAGAAAGGAAAAGACAGTTCATTGAATTGTGACCACACATGATAGAAACATTCCTTAAGGTCATGCTTTCTTCTCCTTGTACTCCCATGGACTTTCTCATATATAATTTGGTTTCAACTTTCTTCTATATTAGCTAGAGTCATATTGTTTTTATTTTTTTGTGCATGATTACACCTCTGTCTTTGTGAAACTAGTCTACTTGCTGGAAACGTGAATGTGAGTTTGACTCTCACCTTACACTCTAAGCCTCAGTTTCCTTGGCTGCAAGATGGGGTTTGTCTGCAAATAGCTAAGTTCTTTATGCTACATGAATTTTTACTGCCTCTAGTTTCAGGAGATATTTTTTTCCCCTAAACTTGTTTCTAATTTATGAAATTACTTTTTAGATTACTTTGGGCACTAAAAACAGCCACTATTAGTAGTTTATTAAAAAGATAAATAGCAGATAAAAATAGAATGAAAGAATAGAATAGAATACATTTCTTAAAGAATAGAAAAATATCCTGTATTTGTCAACAGCAATTCAACTAGTAGGTGTTGATACTTTGGGTCTGAGTAAAGAAAAAATATCCTGTAGAATACGTACTTCACCACAGTCACGCAGACTTGCATCTTCCTTCAACCATGTGTTTTGGAAAAGAACTGGAAAGGGGAAGAGTAATAGTAAGGAGACAGGTATAAGGTAAAAGAGCGAGACTCGAATGAATGCTGGAGGAGGCAGAGCTCAAGCAGTTGACATGGAAGCTACCATGGGAAGTGAAGCAAATGCAGTTAGCACTGTGCAAGTGAATCATATTAAATATGGGTGTTGCTAGGTGGCTTTATATAGGCAGAGAACCTTTGTGAAAAGTGGAAGGTAAGAAAGGGTGTACTTAAATTAAGCAACCTCACAGGTCGAGAAAGCCAAGGGTACTAAAGCATGGCTCTTATGAGGAAAAAGGTCATGGAATCAAGGACGTCACCTAGAACACGTTTTACCACCCATCTGGGGTAAACCCATCTGATATATATCCTTACTTCACTCTACACAAGAAACACTGCGAAAGGAGTAGTTAAGAATTCCATGGTATGTGATAGTTTTAGAAAAGAAACTGAAATTGGAATCTGATTCTCATTCTAGCTACTTTCCCCATGGCATTTGCCTTTTTTTTTTTTTTGCCAGTATCTGCTTACTCTGTCTTTGCAGGAGAATGAAATGCTTCGTATCTGACTCCATCTTGTTCAAGCCTAGTTTGTTCCCATGGCCTTCAGGCTAATAGCTTCTGCTTAGTCTTGCGTATAGACACGCTAATCATTAGAGGAATCCTGCCACTTCAGGAGATAAGGGAGGTATGTATGGTTTGCCGAAACCGCATGACCAGACTGACATCAACTAGCACAATCTTCCTTGAACCCCTGCTGGTGCCCAGAGGTCTGTGGACCTCTGGCCCCTCCCATTTCCCCTTCCCTTGACGTAAAAGCCTGAACTCTGTACTTTCCTAAGATGGATTGGAGATACCCTATGGCTCCCACCTTCTCAGTTGATCAATAAATCTTTCCTTCTCCTGCTTTCCTCACTCCTTTTCTCCTGGAAGCACTTCCACTGTGTACTACATGCATGCTATTTCCTTGTTTAGTAAGACTCTGTTTTCAGAGCATTGGACCCCAAGCAAATATACAATAAAATGGAGTTGTCAGTAATGGAAGTAGAAACCTTTCAAATTGCTTTGGCCTGGAAAGTTTTCTCTAAAACACATTGCAAAAAGAAAGGAAAAAAGACTGAAACATAGCATACACATATGCTGTATCAAACTGCATGTTTCAGTGCATTACTAGACCTAGTGTACAGGTTTCCTCTTGCATGCCAGCTATCAGGCATGTTGAGTGGGGAAGATTCTGAGGCCTCACTTGGACTTAGTGTGAGAGAGTGCAGGTTGACATGTGCTGTTTGCTTTAGGCAAGAAGTAGAGGTGCATGAAAGGAGACAGTGAGGGGTAATTTTGATGTAGTTCTGCTGTTAAAACAAATTCTCTTCTCTTAACGTTACTACATTTTCAGTCATATTTTTGGTGCCTAACAAAGACAAGTGGGCTGGGATGAAATTCTGGCTCCTCTCCTTACAAACTATGTGACCTTGAACAAGTTACGTTACTTTGGTTTCTGAGTCTGTGAAATTACAATCATAGCATCTTTCCTATAGAATTTTTATGAGAATTAAATAAATTGACTCAGGTAAAGTTCTTAGAGCTGTGCATGGTACCTATTAAGTACTTGATGACTATAAGCTTTTACTGTTATTTAATGATTTCAAAGTAGTAAAGTCATCATGAATGAGTGAATATTCTTCACTTAAAATGTGTCTTTTTTTAAAAAAAGTTAGATAACTGGTTATTCATGCTAATTTGAGAAAAAGATCTTTATACTGTAGAATCATCATTCCTAGTCAATGAGATACAACAACTTAAACTTTTATATGAATAAACTGTTTAAAAAGACTGATGATTGACTGAATTATCTATGATTGGTCAGGTTAAGGTTAGGGAACTTGATCTCTTCTGCTGCAACAAACACTAATGACCTTAGGGAAGACAGTGAGGGAGCAAGTCAAACTGAAAGAGATCTATAATTAGAGATTGAAGCTCTTAGAAACATTGATTAGAAGAAAGAGCTTTTTGATTAAGGTTTTTTCTTTTTTCACCTTTGGAAAGTTATTTTGAATGTTGATTTGTATGATTCACTGTTTTTGACTGCCATTTGAACAGTACCTATTCATCATTAAATATTTCTTAAATGCCTTAATTTTAGGTATTGGGAAATATGCCACATATGAATGCTTTGTGAAGACCAAAAGCATGTAAATCAAAATTAATTTTAGACCGTAGTAAGAAATAAAAAGCATTTAATTGAACAAAAGGAGCTGCAGCCCAGAAGACACAGATTCAGGTAGCAACTTAAATTGCATTCCATTGTGCTGAATGAGAAGCCTTCTTTTATAGAGAAAGCTCCTACCCAAGTTCCTAATTCCAACTGCTTTATGCAAACAAGGGGTCCAAATTGTGTGGGCCTGATTGGTCAGTATACAGGCAAATGAAGGTACAATTTGTGTAGTTCTGATTGTAGGGGCACATCTCCATCCTTTCGTGGAAAGACAAGATCAGGGCTTCCCTGATGTGGTTGACTTAGAGAGAGTAAACAGGCAGGAAGGAGCACAGAACAGGAGGCGGAAAGCTCAGTCGGTGGCTTATCCCAAAACACTGTGTGAGAGGCCTCTGCAGCAATGGCAGCTCAACTCTGCTTTTGAATTTGGATTTTGAACTTAACCATGAGAGAAGCCCATTTTGACAGAGATATACTTCTGCTCAGGGCTCACAGGCATAAGATTTAAGATGGTCACTCTGTTCTTTTTGTACACATGTTAGTACAGTGTGCAAATGACTTGAAATAACGGTGACAACGTAAAAATGCTATAATATAGTTGGGCTAATGGGGTTTCTGAGTGAAAAATGGAACTGTTATTCCCAAGAGTAACGAGAAAGAACTTGGGATGCAGCTATCCTAGACAAGTGCTAATGTGGCTATCAGTCTGAGGAGGGAGGCACTAGAAAATTATTGCAGGAAGAGTTTACATTTAGCAGTAGGGTTTTTTCCAAGCTACATTTTAAACCTCATTATGGTGAATATTTAATCGGGACCAAAAAATAAGCGTCATTTGCATTAGCATACCCCAGATAATACCTAATTGACACATAAATATCATTGAAAGGCAATATTCCTACTTCATTAACATATTTGCTACAAGTATTCTAAGATAAAATAATTAGACACATTTTAAATAAGAGTTAAAAGATAAGCTTTTCGTGTTGGGGAGGGTTGTGGGTTCAGGAAACAGTAATGGAAAAACTAGTTTTATAATGTGTTTTAAAAATGTAACTCCTGTAATCCTCACTCATTTTTACATGTACCAGAATTGATTTAAAAGGGACTGTAAGTGCTTTATTCCATAACTGAAGGAAGCCTAAATAGTCTTTTATATTGATTGAGTTAATTATAGCAAGACTTGTAAAGTCCTAAAAGCTAGGTGAATATTTAACAAGATTGACAAGTAAATTTAAGTTTAATTTCCTTTAATACACATACAATGAAGAGATAAAATTCCCTATACCAAACAAGGAAATACGCATTATAATCTTAAGATTAAGCGTTACATAACAAATACCTGGATATTAAAGTAGAGTCTCACATGGAGTTTGGTATAAAGTATACTCTTGACAAATGTCGATTTCGTTCCTTTCTTCCACTTTCCTCAATATCGTATTACATTTTTCTTATTAAATATAGTATTTTTTGGTTAATGTAAAAAAGTAAAATTTTCAGCAAGCACTGAGCACACATTTGATTACCACCCAGTCTTTCAACCTCCCTGGAAAACCCAGCCTGAAGGGAACACAATTTAATACCTAGGAAATGAGGGGAAATGAACTACAGTAATAGGTGCAGGCAACTGTTTCAACCAAGCCTCAGGCAAATGAAAGGCAAAAGGTAAGGGATTTAAACCCTTTCTCAGCTCCACTTTAACATAATTTTATCATTCGCACCAGCTGATTGTGTTGGGAAGGAAGAAAAAAATACAGGGTAGGACAAAGGTAGGTTTACCAATGCTGAGTTTATTGGTGCATTATTATTTATTAATTATAGTATGATTTTCCACACAAGCAACTGTAAACCTACTTTTGCCCCACCTTCTATAATTAAGATTTTATTTTTGAATTGTATTTCTTGTGTTGTTTACTGTGATCCTGAATAACAACTGAACAGAACTTTGAAGAATGCCTTACACTGCAGAATATAAAAATCCCGAACTTGCAGGTGGTATGCCCATTAGCTTTTTCTCTTTCCTCATTCTTACTAGTAATTCACAAGGAAAGCTTTGCGTTTCCAAAATTTTCTTAGTTCCAAGATAGTAAACATTTACTATTTATAGAGAAGTAGAAAAGGATGGCCATTCAGAAGGGTTTTATGTTCTAATTTCATGCAAAGGAATGAAAAAAAAAATGAAACTTGTTTATCCAAAAGATCAGAGTGATTAAAAAGAAAATAAATAGATAAGGTGTCTAACAGAGTGACCACAGAAGAACTGGCTTGGTCAGGGAGGTTTTCTGAAATGGTGATTGTGAGCCATTTTCTCATATACTTATTTTCCTTTGAAGAATTCCTTTATTTGAGTTTATTTTCAATTACAAAATTTTTAAAGTTTGGTAAAATATACATAACATAAAGTTACCATTGTAAGCATTTTTAAAAAGATTTTATTTACTTATTTTTAGAGAGAGGGGAAGGGCGGGAGAGAGAGAGGGAGAGAAACATCAGTGTGCGGTTGCCTCTTGCACACCCTCTACCCGGGACCTGGCCTGAAACCCAGGCAGGTGCCCTGACTGGAAATTGAACCAGAGACCCTTTGGTTCACAGGCCAGCACTCAGTCCACTGAGCCACACCAGCCAGGGCCATCATAAGCATTTTTAAGTTTTCAGTTCAGTAGTGTTAAGTATAGCCACATTGTTATGCAAACGATCTTGAGAATG